TCAAACTCTCATTCCATTCAGAAGTAACTAATCGCTGTGTCTCTAGTAAGTTTTGAGAAGCTGTAAATTGTATGGAAGGAGATGCCCCTCTTTCTCTTGCGGAGCTGCTGGTGGATTCAAAGAATTAGAGGTGTAGTCTTTGGGTTATCCAACTCCCCATGGACCAAGCCACCAGAGCTCCTATGCACACTTTGTGAAGGGTTTACTGTTAATAACTAAGATTGACTAGGATGTCTAACAGTCATCTTTAAAAATTGGCATTTCCCCCTCCCCCACTACCTCTCATACCTAAAGAGATCCACTGTTTTATTTGTGTGTATATTTTGTGTGCATGTAAATCTCATCTCTGCTTTTTTTGTTGTTTACTTATGATTGGACATTAAATAGAGCTTTTAATCAGCAATTTAATTGAAGAAATGGAGGGTAATTTAGTTAAAACTGGTTATGAATCTGAATCCAGCACTTGTGAACTTCAATACACCAAAACATGTCATAAGTAATGAAGCTATTAACTTTTTCATAGGTGAACATCCTCTGTTCTTTAAGAAAAGCTGTGACTGGATGACAGAGACAGTGGATGGAGATACTGGTCTTTGCAGATAAGAAATGAAAATAATTTCTTAAGTAGGAAACTGAAATAAAACATATACTATATCATCCTAAATCCCATCATCTTTTGTAGCCTTCAAAATGAGGCGGTATGTCATCACTTTTAGGAAACCACTATTTGAAAGAACATGTCTCCCTTCAACTTCATATTTACCCAGTATATAGAGAATCATGGTGAGTGGATGATGTTTTCTGGGATAATTCTGCGCCTCCTCACCACTAAGTTTTGTGGTATAGTTTTAGTAACCACAAAACGAGAATTATTTTGGGGGGAGGTATCTTTTTTTAAAACAAACTAATTAGATTATTTTAATGGCTAAGAAATAATAAGAGAAACTAAGTAAACAGAAAATCTGGTAGAGAGAAGTCAAACTGTTTTGCAGTTGTACCTGCTTCAGTTATGTTAATAGCCTTCATGCTATGATACTAACCTGGCTCGCCATTTACCTGCACTTATGTGTTGCTCTTTGCTGATGAGCCAATCCGACTCACAAAGACCTTATACATGCAGAGTAGAATTGCTCCAAAGGGTTTTCCACAGCACAATTTTTGGAAGATTAGAAAACCTATCTTTTAAGACACTGACGTGTGGGTTTGAATCTCCAGTCTTTCAGTTAGTTTGGTTAGTAACTGAGGGCTTAGCCATTCTGCATTACCTAAGGCTTTGTTTTATATATATAAAACACTATCCATATATTTACATTTCCAAATATTCAGACATGCATAACAATCTATATGTATATAGACAGACTGTTCTGTATTAGCATAAGGAAGCTCTGGTTGGTCATCCATAGTTGATAAGCATCTGACAATTAGAATCCACCTGCAGACCAATGGAATAGAATTGAAAACCCGGAGATTAGCCCATCTATCTATGGTCAACCGAGTTTTGACAAGGAGATGAAATCAGTTAAGTGGGGAAACGACAGCCTTTTTAACAAATGGTGTTGGCAAAATTGGAAAAGTATCTGCAAAAGACTCAAGCAAGATCCATACCTCACTCCATACACAAAAACCAACTCAAGGTGGGTCATGGACCTAGGACTAAAGCCAAGGACTATAAACTTGATAAAGAAAAGCTAGGGTCCTAATCCACAACATAAACAACTTTCCAAGTATCTTGAAAAATCTGCAACCAGGAGAAGTTAAGTAGATTAATGGGACCTTCTAAGAATCAAATCCCTATGCACATGCAAAAACTTCTCCAACAGGGTAAAAAGGGAAGCCACAGACTGGGAAAAAGTATTTGGTAATGACCTATCAGATAAGGGACTTATATGCAGAATTTTTAAAATACTTGAACACCACAACAAGATAAAGGTAAATAACCCAATTCAAAAATGGGCACAGGATATGAACAGACACTTCACTGAAGAAGAAGACATTCAGATGGCTAACAAGCACATGAAGAAATGTTCAAAATCCCTAGCTCTAAGAGAGATGCAAATTAAAACAACTATGAGATATCATCTCATCCCAGTCAGAACAGCAAAATTTAACAAAACAGCAAGCAACCAATGCTGGTGAGGTTGTGGAGAAACTGGAATCCTTACTCACTATTGGTGGGAGTGTCAAATGGTGCAACAACTGTGAAATGCGGTATGGCGCTTTCTCAAAAAGTTGCAAATAGAGATACCATTTGACCCAGCAACTCCACTACTGGGAATATACCCCAAAGAGACCATAACTGACATCCAAGCAGATATATGCACACCCATGTTTATCGCAGCTTTGTTCACAATAGCAAGGAGTTAGAAACAACCTAAGTGCCCATCAACAAACAAATGGATAGAGAAACTGTGGTATATTCACACAATGTAATACTACGCTGCATTGAAAAACAAGGAACTCATGCAGTATTATTCAAAATGGGTGACCCTGGAGGACATTATGCTGAGTGAAATATCTCAGTCACAGAAGGACAAATACTGCATGGTGCCACTGTTGTAAAAGAGGATTGATCTTGGGGTTGGGGAGAGACTGAGAAAGATGGGTTCTATAATGTATTGAAACAGATGAGGGAGAAAACTATTTAAAAGGGATATGTGATTAGGTATTTTTGTCATAATAGGAGTATAGCATGAAGGCTACATGGTGGAGTGGACCTGGGGGAGGGTTTGTAAAACAATGAAAGAATTTTCCTTTTACTTTTCCAAGAGGGTAGTATATTAGGAGGGAGGGTTGGGAGGGAAGAAAAGTGCAACAATGAATGAATGGAAATCCAAAGTGTCTGTATATTTTTACTGAAATTAATAATAAATTTAAATGAAAAAAAAAAAAGAGTCCACCTGCAACTCTGCAAAAGAAAGATGGGCAGTCTCTGTTGCAATTTACAGCTTTAGAACCCTAACAACAAGTCCAAACCAACTCCACAGGGTTGAGTGAGTGGGATGGATTAGCAGCTCTTTTCTTCCCTGTCAAATAAGAACTACTAATACTATTAACCAGATTAAGGGATAAGAGCAGAAAATACTGATGTTTGCCACTTAGTGAAAAATGTTCATAGAATATGTTCTCTATTAGAATAGTAAGGATTATGACATGACTTATTTATTTATAAGGTGAAAGAAGGAACGCAGTCCCTCATTACCACAAATTATGCAGTCGAGTTTCCCACATTTGGGAAAAATGCAGACAGAGGTCAGCCCATTTGGAGTGAAATGGATTAAGCGTTGCCCTGGGAAAACCACCTTCATGATTATGGTATCTCCCCTGCTAGGTAACTTATTTTTAATATTGAATTACATTACTGAGCTCCAGTTTCAGATGTATTTTTCTAATCTTCTGACACTTTTTGGCATATCTTTTTAAAGTAAATAAAATTTAAATTCAAAATGCTAATTTAGTTAAAACCAGATAGCTTTTCCAAAGATTCCTTATTGTGAACTTGGAAAGTCCAATTCAGTCTTGGGCAACAAAATTCAGTGGTTTCCAAAGAGCATAAAAAATACCTATAATTGAATCTTAACAGTTTATCTTTCATGGATTAACATAGCAAAGATGCTGGATCAAAAAGGTTAAGTACAGATCTACTTTTGAAAATATATTACAATTGTAATATACTACTAAATTTTTCTCTTAATGGAAATATAAATCTTAGATTATGAACTGTAATTAACTACAAAAAACAGGCTTAGAAAAAGTAAAAAAATAGAAATAATGTAAACCTTGTCAATTTAAATTTTGAGTTACCATTTATGAAAACTCAGAAATCTGAATTTATATCAGTACTGATTTTGTATTAGTAATAAGTTTCTAAGACCAGGAGAACACAATATGTGGTTCAGATTTTCTGTATATTTACTCAAATTTGGAGAGCAGTTGGGTAACCCACTTTTATAAACTTGCAAAATCTCACTATTCCAATATTTACATTTCCAAACATGCAGGAAGCAAAGTATTAAGTCAACAATTTCAGTGAGATCACTTTTCACCTTTCAATCTAAGACAGAAGACAGTATCGTTTAACCACACAATACATGTGCCTTGAACAGTCAAAATTTCCAAAGAAGCTGAACAACTTTTTTGGGTGGGGCAAGTGGCTAAGGAAGAACAGAATTCATTTTGGCTTGCCCTAGCATTGGGGAAATATTTAATACCACACCCTCTGCAAAGGCCTAACACACAGCAAACAGTATTGTCAAATCAGCCCTTTGTGGTCTCTTGTCACCGTCCATTAAATGAATAAAAAAAAAAGGAAAACAATAAAACGAGTATAGAAGTTTGACAGCAGCAGGGCTTGTAGTACCTAAAAAAAAAGAAGGGTGAAAAGTAAAACTAAGAAAATGTCCCCATTTTCATTCTTTATTCTACCTTGAATGGGAAAACAGTTTTTTAGTCTACTGATTAAAAAGTTGAATTTTTTAAACTTGATCAATCATTTATTATTAGTACTAGATCAATCAATTATTAGTACTACCACTTTGTGGAGCAGACCATTACTCAGCACGAAGGTGGAACCGAGCGCCTTCTACAAGGCAGCGGAACCAGGGGCTAGGGGAGCGGTGTTTCCAGTGATAAGATGGAAACAGGAACATCAGCAACAAGGGCCCAGGTGACAGCTGCCCTCCCCACGCCCTCCATCCCCTCTCTCCAGACCCACGTCCAGGATTTGGGAAGACCTGCGCTGATCCTCTCGTGCATTTGAGGAGTTGCTGAAGGGCAGATTCGGGCAGAAAATGACCAGGAATGGGAGGAGGCCGCAGGGACCCCAGCCTCACCTCTGGGACACCTCCCACACCCAGGCGCACGCCCACCTCTCAGTTCCCAGCCCCTCAACCCAACTTCAGTTCAGGGTCCTTTGGCTCTCTTCGCCCTGCGAGCTCTTTCTGTACTCCGCTGCCCTTGCCCCCCAGAGCCGACCCCGCCTCACCTCCTCCCAACTCTCTTACCTTTCCATTCTTGGGGCTGCCGTTAAGGAACAGGGTCACCCGCCTCATCGCGCTGCCCCCACCGGGTCCTGAGTGAGCCGCCACCCTCCCACCTTTTTCTCCTCCCACCTTTTTCTCCTCCCGCCCTTCCCCTCCCTCCACCCACTCGGACTCTCCTCCCTTCGCCACCTTCCTTCTCTTACTCACAGACAAACACACACTCTCCGTCCCACACCCCAGGGTTGGCGGGTCCTCCTTCCCACCCCGCCCCTATGCTCCTCAGACTGTCTGGGGCCCTTCCCCCACCGACTCGAGACTGACTCTAATATTCACCAATCAATGGGCAAGGATGACTAGCTTTCACCCAATCATCGCCCTGCTTTGGGTGGGCTCATACCAACCCAGACTGGAGGAGGGAGGGAAGAGAGGTTATAGACGGGAAGGGTTATCAACCAATTAGAACACAGCCTGGAGTCGAAAGGCGCCTCCAAGTATTATTGAGCAGGCGCAAAACCATACTAGGCAGTGCTAGAAGAACTTATCTGCATATAGAGGCAGGGCTTGGAGAAAGCAGGTGGAGCGCTAGAAGTGAGCTACACCACTCTTAACTCCTCCCATCATCCGCCCACAAAGGAAACGGCTGCGGCCCGGGCTGGCTGATTGGGTAAGAGCCGGCCTGGTCCTTCCATGATTGGTCCAATCCTTCTTTTCGAAGTTTGCTTCATCCAATTGAAACGGGGAGGGCGGGCTATAATTTAACTGAAGGGTTACTCCGCGAGATCTACAAGCGAAGTAGTCCCAAAACACAGGCTTTAAGCTAGTTTATCTGGACAGTAAGTGAGTCGCAGCTAGTGGTGACTACTTTTTCAGACCTGTTAGTCATCTTCCTGAGAGAGTGAGATAGAGACTTGGACGCGTTTGTGGTGCGAGTGGACACGTGTGAGTGGTTGCTGGCGTAGAGATTTGTAGAGTTTACGTTCTGACGGCGAGGAGGCGTGGTCGCCTATTTGAATTCAGCGGCGGGCTGCCTGGACGCCAGTTGTAGGGGAATGTTTAGGGTCTGTGGTCGGGACAAGATTATGTTGTTTAGTGACCGGGGAGTCTGAGGTGGGTAAGAGCTAGAGAGAAAAGCAGCGGGTCAGCCTTTTATTAGCTATCCTGTGGCTGCCGGTTTAGCGAACAACTGTTGATTTCTCAAGCTGGAATTTCAGTATCCGGAAGCTCAAGTTCTTGGAGACGGCGTGTTCTGTCAGACCCTCAGCCCAGATTATTTCTCCACGCTGAGATTTGTCGCTCTTGCTAAGATTTCAAGATAAACTGAAGTGAGAGGATACCGGAGTTGCGAGAGGTAAGCCAAGTACTGTTTTGGATTTCACATATAGCGCAGTCATACTATTTCTTCAGTGTTTCCTGTCCCTTACAGACTTCATACACTTTCCTGTAGATCACTTGGGATGCATTTTAAAACAGAAGGGAGTGTAAAATGGTGCAACCACTACGGAAGGCTGTATGGCGCTTTCTCAAAAAGTTACAAATAGAAGTACCATTTGACCCAGCAGTTCTACTACTGGGAATATACCCTAAAGAAACCAGAACTGCTACCCAAGCAGATATATGTACACCCATGTTTATTCTGCTTTGTTCACAATAGCAAAGAGTTGGAAACAACCCAAGTGCCTATCAACAAACGAATGGATAGAGAAGCTCTGGTATATTCACCCAATGAAATACTATGCACCATTGAAAAACTAGGAACTCATGAAATACTATGCAAAATGGATGACCCTGGAGGACATTATGCTGAGTGAAATATATAGTCACACAAAGCTGCATTTTTAATAAGCTACGCAGATATTTTCACTTAGGTATGAAAACCTTATAGTGTGTTGTTAGGTTCCATCCAGACAACTACGACTCATAGCGACCCTATGGACAATGGATCTATGAACTCTGCCCTACTCTGTGCATCCTCATCTTGAGCCCATTGCTGAGGTTATTGTGCCAATCCATCTCTTTGGGGCTCCTTCTCTCCTTATGTTGTTATGTACCACTGAGCCTCAGATAGATGCATAGTTGATACTCCAGTGGATTTTCAGGGGTGGTGAATCACATGGAAGTTGATTGCCCATCTTTCTCCCATGGAGTGACTGACTTTCTGCATTGGTTGCAAAATTCCTTAACACTAGGCCACCAGAGAGCCCTTCTCTCTTTATAGGATCTGCTTTATTTCCTAAGTAGCAGTTTCCTCCATTTCTTTTAAATTGATCGGTAAAAGTAGTCTCTTTACAACTACTTACATATCTTTATAGACTGTATTACAATCCAGCCTTTAATGAGGCTCTTGATGGAATCACATTTAGTTTTGAGATGAGATTGTTTAAATTTTCCTTCTCTCCTTTTATTCTTAGATGGATACTGACTCCAAAGGCAAGAAGCCCTTTGAAACCAAGGAGAAGGGATCTATTATTAACAATGCTGGTATGTAGTGATCTCTTGGAACTTTTTTGAAATTAAAGTTTAAGGCACTTTCTTGATAATTATAGTTAGCGTCAGTGATACATTACTGTTTCAGAAAACACACCTTTCATTTTTGGAAATGGGAAACTTGCAGCACCGCAGAATCATGAAGTAGTAGTGACTCCTAATCAGTGCAGAACAGATATCTTTAAATCACCTTCACCTTTGAACTTTTCTACTGTAACTGTAGAGCAATTGGGAATTACACCAGAAAGCTTTGTCAAAAGCACTCCAGGTAAGAGACGTCATGTTATGTTTAAATACCCTTAATAGAACTTAGTTCTGTTCATCTATTCTTAATTTGTATCTAAAATGATTGACTCAACTTGCTTACTCAAAGATACCTGCTCACAGATCATCTGGCATAGCAGGACACCATGGCTCCTGTCTTGATTGTGTTCCAAAGTCAGAATTTTTATTCCATACACATTCTAGAAAAGATTGTATACAAATCCCCAGTTGACATGTGGGTACAAAAGGATCTATTGTCTGAATAAGTTAAATATTTTGTGTTCAGGATGGCAAATGTACTTGTAGAATTAAAATATAACATGGAATGATAGGGATGTGATTTTCTTTGGAAATCACAAGCAGAAACCTGATTTGGGCTCATCTCATCTAAGGAGAAGAAATTAACCTGTTATGTCTGAATTAAAAGATGAGGAAGAAAAACATCAAGGTGGAACACAATTTTTAAATGGAGGCTAGTAAGAGACTTGAAAATCAGAGATCATTGAGCTGGATTATATGTCATTATTGTTGTTAGGTACCATTGAGTCAAGTTGACTCATAGCAAGCCTATGAACAACAGGTCTAGACCATATCCTTCCCTGGTGATATAACATTAGACCACAATATTCTCTTCACAATCATGTTGTTGTTGTTATGTGTCGTCGAGTTACCTGCGACTCATAGTGACCCTATGTACAACAACTCTAAACCTTGCTCTATCCTGTGTGCCAGTCTTATCATCTCTTGACACTCCTACCCCTATCACCCTGGTCACTGTCAGTCCATCTCATTGACGATCTTCCTCTCCTGCGCTGTCCCTCCACCCTTTTGAGCATGATGTCCCTCTCCAAGGATTGGTCCCACCTTACAACTTGTCCAAAGTATGTCAGATGAAACTTCAGAATCTTTGTCTCCAAGGAAAAGCCTGGTCTCACTCTCTCTAGGATGAACTTTTTTGTTCTCCTAGCAGTCCATGGTATATTCAATGCTCTTCTCCAGCACCACAGCTCAAAGGCATCAATTCTCCTTCTATCATCCCTAGTCATTGTTCAGCTTTCTAAGGCATAGCAAGTAATTGCAAAGTGTTTTCTGATTTGGGGTTGAGACTAGGGTGTGATTCTGAGCTGATCAGATTTGGCCTTTATTAAAAAGGCTTTTGGTTGCCAGTCTGGGGCTATTTCTAGGCTGGGAAGATGAGCAGAATGGCTGGATTCTGCACCAGGTGTGTTTTCTGGTTTGGGGTTGAAACTAGGGTGTGGCTCTGAGCTTTTTGGATTTGGCCTCTTTAAAAAGGCTTCTGGTTTTTGTGAATCTCCCAAATAAAACACGCTTGGAAGCAGAAGTGGCATCCACTTCCAAAAAAAGCTTGCCTCCAGGAACCCTATGAACTTGGAGAAAAGATGAAAGTTTTGCATTCAAGACTTCGTTCATAGAGTTGCTATGGGTTGTCTACAACTTATGGCACATAACAACAACATGGCCTGGATCAGGCACACCTTAGTCTCAAGACTGACATAGTTGCTCGTCAGTACTTTGGAGAGGTCTCTGACAGCAGACTTTCCCAATACAATCCGTCTTTTAATTTCCTGGCTGCTGGTACCAAGAGTGTTGACTGTAGAGCCAAGCAAACTGAAGCTGTCAATAATCTCAATCTTTTCACCATCTATCAGGATGCTGCCAATTGGCCCAGTGGTGAGAATTTTTTTTTCTTGATGTTGAGCTTCAATCCATATTGAAGGCTGTAGATTGTACTTTTAAAAAAACTAACATCATTTGTGAGATTAGATATATGAGTAGAATCCACCAGTGGCTTCCAGGAGAAAAGATGGACAATTTACTCCTTTTTGGATTTTTATCCTGAGAAACCCAATAAAGAGCATTGCTATGAGTCAGAACGGAATCTGAAAGGTGTTTATTTTTTAATGTAGAAAGTAGATATCTAAGTAGGGTGCTGTACATTTCACTATGTGGCCTTTTGTTTTTGAGTTTTGGAAAAATATTTAGGAGACTTCAATTTATTTTATTTTTTAATTGTACAAACCCATGTATGGGGATCTAAGGAGGTAAAGGGTGGGAGTAGAAGGATGAGGATGGGTAGGGATGAAATCACAGGTTTCCGTAATTTGGTGGGTGGAGAGATTGCATAAAGGCAATGAGAAAGAGCCAGCAGGGACAAAAAAGACAGGGTAATGGTGAGCATAGTCAAATGGTGATTAACTTTTTCTTTTACAAAGAGATTTCTTTTTATTTGTAGTTTTCTCATTTGGGAATAGGACACAGGCTTTCTGGCTACTTTATGCTGAACAGAGGCATAGAGATGAAGGAGAAGGGTATCCCACTTTTTGCTGATGATCTTGAGTTGAAGCTGCATGCCTTCTTGTTCAGATAGAAGATTTTTTTCATGATGTTTTCTACCCTCTGGACAGTAAGGTGTTTGTGTGGGTGAGTCCAGTGGGAGTGGTTGGCTGAACTTGGAGGCTCCATCCACCTTCACTTCCTTAGCTGGCAGTTATAGTTCTGTTTTGTCTCTGGAACCAGGCTCAGGGTTTAGGTTCTGGAACAGGACCCAGTGTTCATGTTACTTGTAGGAAAGGGAGCAAACCTAGAGAGAATATATTTGTGAGTTACAAAGAAAAGGGCTTTGGAGGTGTTACTTACAGGTGCACTGGAGGAGGAGATAGAGGAAAGTTGCTTAGAAAAATTCCTCATACACATCAGGCTGCTCACCCCAAGGGCCAGGTGACCCTCCCCAGGGGCATGACGGCTCTCCTCTCCCAAAGCACTTTTGAGGTCTGGACCTTGCGACCTACAAGGGACCATGGCCGGGGACAGCACTACTGGCTCTAGTGCCACCATCATTGCCCTCTTTCTGTCTGCTAAGTGGCCTATTTGTAACTCGAAGTAGGTATCATTACTTTTCCCTTCCACAAATGGAGAAGGGGCTTCCAGAGTGTTGAACAGACCTACTCAAGGTTGAAAAAGTAATAAAAGCAGTAGAACAAGGACTCAAACCAAGGTTGTTTGAAGGCAGGCTGTGAGGCAGTGAGTTCCTCGCAACTCTCGGGTCAGCCATCTTTTGTCTTCCTATATTGCATTTCAAACTTCTTTGCCAGTAGTTCAACTTCTTGTCTCTCTTAGTGCCCATGGTTGAATGGGTCTTCAATATGAAGGGGCCTCTTCCATTGTTCTCTGCACAGCACCAGCTTGGGATAGCTGAACTCTACACAGTTCTCTGCCTTGGGGTCCTGGAACGCCAGATCCAGGCACACCTCACTGGTGGAGCAGCCTGGGCAGCCATTTCAACACCTCAGGCCACTGGGGCTTGCCTTCAGTGTCACAGACGGCTCAGGGCAGCCGGGCTTGTGCTCCATGGGCTTTGTGTCCAACTTGGGGGTGGCCTCATGAGGCACTTTGAGTGGACAGGCTAATGAACACGACCCTACCTGGCTCTGCTATCCCCTTTGTGGTCCGCCACTCGCACCCAAGCCGAGTTGCTTGCCTGCTCTTCTCCTGCCGCCGCTGAAATTCATTTTCAGAATGGCCAGAAGAGTCATACTAAGAAATTTTTAAGACAAGTCTTAGCCGATTTTCTGGGAGAAATCCCCACACGTCTTTGGTGACCCTCTGTGTTCTGTCTTAGCTGGCTATTTTTATCTGGGAAGTAGCCAAAATGATAGTTTTGTAAAAGGCCTGAATTGATCAACATCTAATGAGTATTTGAAAATGCCTTGTAACTGATAAGGACCACTACATAAAAAGGACTGAACTACAAAGGCTTTCAGGACCACTTGGCTTACAAACCTGGGAGGAGAGCATGTCCTTGACATATAAACTCTGTGCTTAAAACCTTCCCAATCTGTTTTGTTTGTTTTAAAAAAGAAGTTTAGCAAGTTGCTACAGTAACTGCAGGGTAGAGTTGACCTTGCCTGCAAAGAAAGGGTGAAAAAACTTTACATTTGAGAGTCTGGCAGTGGAGACATGTCCAGTAGTCTGGCAGAGATATTGTGTCCCCTGAGTGCTGGCTCTGACCTGGATCAGTGTGAGAGCAGTTCTAGCAGAAGGCTTGTCCATTCCATGAACCTTTTTGCTTCGAGAGCTGTTTTGCTGATTGCCCTGCACTGAAGAATATAGGGATGTAGTTTGCACATTGAGGACACTTTTAGTATTTGTCTTTATATTTCCTGATGCTGAATCCAGTTTGTGTTACTTCCAAGGTGATCCTCATTCTGCATCGTCACTGCTGCTTGTTGTTAGGTGTCCTCAGGTAGAGTAGAACTTAAATGAACTTATGAATAACAGATCTGAACCCTGTGTATCCATCGTGTGCCATCCTCACAATCTCTGATACACTTGAGCCCTTTGTTGCAGTTACTGTGTATCTGTCTTATTGAGGCTCATCCTCTTTTGCTCACCCTCCACCTTTCTAAGCGTGATGTCCCTTTCTAGGGAATAGTTTCTCTTGTAAACAGAGCAAGGGCCATATAGGGGTGGCCATATCAGATCTTGACCAACTTTACAAGGGAAACTGCTCCTGTCAATAGCATGACCAACACAAAACTACTTTCCATGAGGTCACACATGTCTCACATGCTCTCTCTCATACCTCTTTCTACTCGTCTTAACACCAATCTTACTGCTTTACTGAGGCTAAAATCTGAGGTGATAGCTCACAGACCACACAGAACCATATTGTGGAAGTTAAAGGGTAATAATTCAGATCAATAGCAGAATTCAATCAGGACAGCTTCCAAAATTTGCTCGTAAGCACTTTAAGCTTAAGACCAGTGTTACAGAGTTCTCAGTCCTGCCAATATTGGCCTGCACTACACCTCTCTTCCCCCACGTTGTCCAACAAACTTGGGCTCAGGCTCTTTCTCCCCACTCCCAGTTGTCCTCAAACTTGGCCAAAGGCCCTTAGCTCTGGTTCTGTCCTTGGGGAGCAGGGTAACAGTTTCATCTCATGTTGATTCACTACTTTTGTCATGGCTGCTGCTGCTGCTGCTGCATTAAGTCTAGCTGGCACAAGATTGTCTGATCCTGAAGGGCATCTACTTTTCTTTTTCTGGTGTTGAAAGAGAGAAACTGCTATTAGAATCACTCAAATTTATTAACAATACTAGCCAATCCCCTTGTAGCTTGGTGAGAGTGGCCAATCCCCTTGTGAAGAGGCTAGTACCCTATTCGCATATTCCCTCCCTCTGCCATATCCACATAGCAGAGGCAAGCTCCAAGCCCAGCATAACCATACTGAAAGATAAACTGTGCCGAGCCCAAAGTATGTGAGGCAAAATTTTGCTGTCCTTTCCTCCAAGGTGCACTCTGACTACACTTTTTCTAAGATAATGTCTTCCATGTTAAATTAGTAGAGATTAAACTGAACAGCTCCTACACTGCTCACGTTGCTCTTTTTACAGAAAGTAATTGCATCTCTATGTCAAGAAAACAAAGACTCTTACCACTGGACTCATAGACAGCGTCATGGTAGATGGAAAAGAGATTGAAACTGTCAATAATTTCATCTTACTTGGATCCATAGCCAACGCCCTTGGTACCAGCAGTTAGGAAATCAGGAGATGTATTGCATTTCTGCATTTAAGGACCTCTCCAAATTACTGAGGAGTAATGATGTCAGTTTGAGAACTAAGGTGTGTCTGATTCAGGTCATGGTCTTTCCAATCACTTGCTATTTATCTGAGAGCTGGACAATGAAAAGAGATGACAGAATTGATGCCTTTGAGTTGTGTTGTAGAACAGCAGTGAGCATCCTATGGATGGCTAAAAGAACTAATAAATTTATCTGGGAGAAGATACAGTGGAGTGCTTTTTGGAGGCAAGAATGATGAGGCTTCACCTCACATACTTTGGATGTGTTATTAGGAGGGGCTATTTATTCGAGAGGGACATGATGTTGTGAAGGATGGAGGTTCGGTGAAGGAGAGGAAGACCCTCAACCAGGGGACTGACACGGTTACTGCTGCACTGGGCTCTTGTGTCAGGAAGTGTGAGGATGGTGCAGGGTAGGAAAGGGTTCAGATCTGCTATTCATAGGGTCGCTATGAGTCACACTTGATGGCACCTACCAACAACAAGCAGCTATGCTATGTATTGGGATATTGAGAACTTGAAAGAGTGCATGTGCCTAGGTGGAGATCTTTTCTTTCTATCTTTGTCAAGTTTTTCCAGTGCATAACAACCCCACAAATGATGAAGTGAAACACTTAGCTCCCACCTCATCTTTGTGATCAATTGCAAATCATCTAATTTTGATTCATGGGATTTCCATTCACTTGATTTTTCAGAGGTAGGTGACCAAACCTTGCTTCCTAGTCTTTTGGTTTGTTTCAGTCTGGAAACTATTGAAATCAGTTCAGCATAGTATAGCAATTCTCAGGTGGTTTGAGTCCCTAGTAACTGAAGGAGAAAGATGGGCATTATCTTCCCATGTGACCTAAAACATGCTAGGGTCAGCTATCAGTTGATTATGACTTGACAATAAACAGTTTGAGTTAGTGAGTTTTGACTGATAAGAGAAATGGTGGCCCTTATGAGGTGCGTGTAGGCCAGGAATCCTAGAGGGAGGCAAAAATCTATCAGTACTTCCTTCCTCAGAGATCTGTCTCTTTCCAATTGTCATTAAATTGGAACCAACTTACTGTTGACCCTTTAGCAGGTTTTCAGAGACTGTAACTTGCATAGGAAGAGATTGCTCATCTTGCTCCTGCAGAGCAGCTGATAGATTCAAGCTCCTTCCCTATGGATTGGCGTCATGACTCTTAAACCATTAGGCCACTAGAGCTCTCTAGGATAAGATCCGAAAGAGAAATGTTCTTCAGATAAAGCCATTGTCCCTCTGCAGGAAATAAGGAATAAAACAAGAAATTTCAGTCTATCTGCTTTCGTTCAGCATCTCATGAATGCTTTCTATCATACTAGACCTGGACTAAATCTATGGACAATAATGAATGTAACATATGGGTAACTTTGCTGATGATTGTATTTTTAGATTTCTGTACTGTGTTAATTGTGTTTATCAGGTGATTGAGACATTATTACTGATGATTGTTGTAATACAGAAGAGCTTTTATTTCAGGAGAGTCATCATCCACTCTTAAGAAAGCTAGACGACGTTCTGCAATTGGTGCTCGGGGCTCTCCGGAAACAAACCATTTGATTTGTTTCATTGC